GGAAAAAAAATTAGAGCAAAAAAACAAGGGAAAACTTTGAAGCCCCATAATTTGTGTTCTTTTTATCCAATCTTTCTAATTTCAAAAATTTAACATAATTATCAATGATTCTGCGTTGAATGATACTAAATACTTGATGGTTGTACGCTCCTAGACCCACTCATTCATAATCGGCTACGACATTTACAATCTACGGTATTTACAATCTACGGTATTTACAATCCTTAAACTATCGGGTACGCCAGATTGCATACGTTTATTAGGTCACAAAGAGCATGAATTGAATGAATTGATGAAAGAAATAAAGGCTTGGTCGACACTTCTTGAATTGCTTTTGCATGGCGCCTTGGCTGAGCCATATTTCCCTCTTTTAGCTGGCAGACTTTACGGCATTTTCTATACGATATTTGGAATATCTTTGAAGCTAGTTTTTGTAAGTTTTGTTTCCATTTCGATTCATTCATTCATTATTATTGTATTGGATTCCTTCATTCATTCATTCTTCAGTTAGTTGGCAGTGTTTGCATTTTGTTCATGATCATGGCCACAGCTCAATGCATTCTCTACCGTCATCGACAGATTCTACCACAAGATCACTGGCTTCGGTGAGAGTTTTGCGATTTTCAAACACACCCTTTCTTTGGTACACTCATTGTCAGCTGAGTGCTAGAAAGGCTGTACTTCCACTGTGCTTCCACTTGCCTTCAATTCTAGATTCAAAAAAAGAACATGGATATTGATTGCTTGTTTTCATTATATTCTTTACACAATTTCGTTTCTTATTCTTTTCCAATTAACCGATATGGAATTATCGCCGAATGCTAAAGGTTTACCTCAATTGTTGCAGGTGATTTTTCTTGAGCTAAAGTTTATAGCCAAAGTTGCCAACTTTTAACTATTATATTGGGTTGGTGAATTGAAAACTGCCGGACTTTGAACTAAAATTTATTGAACATAAAACCATGAATTGATTCGAAATAATTTCCCTTATTATTGACGACTTGTGCCCATTTTACAGGCAATTTACGGATTCCTCTTTTGTAGTAGGGTTTTGGTTTGTGTGTGAGACAAGTGTGAGACTCAAAAATGGAGGACTGAAGATGGAGACTGGAGATCCCAGTTTGAGCACTTTCTTCAAAAGAAACCCATTTTGGTGTCAATAGAAAAGTTGTAGAGAATCAAAAATTAGGCTTATAGCCAAATTTCCAAAAAGATAGACTTAGTAGTTTCGCTTAAAATGCAAGTTTTGTGAAAATTAGTAAATTTGGCATTTCTTGAAAACCAGTTTTTGAATCGTTCTGAAAATTTGGATATAAGCTTGATTTCTGATTCTCTACAACTTTTCCATTGACACCAAAATGGGTTTCTTTTGAAGAAAGTGCTCAAACTGTCACATATGATAATAGCCCGCAGTTTTCAATTCACCAACCCAATAGTACACTAACAGTACTTTCAGAAAACATTTCTAAATGACAATATGCTTACAGAAATATCCAGCGTATGAATTTGTGAGAGATCAACATGATACATGGGTTGCTTTTGGTAATCCTTTTATTCCGGGAGTTCCAAATTTCACTACAATTTATGCAATTTGTGCCTTAATTGGGCTGCTAGCGGCCGAGATTTTGGGAGCAGTGAGTCATTTTTGAGAGTAATATGTACTATGTAAAACTCTAAACTTAAGCTCGCAGCTAGATTACAGAATTCTTAGCCCAAGACAGAGACAGGACAGGCTCAAAACCTAGGCCAGGTCAATGACAATGCCAGATTTTGCTGTCTCATGGTTCTCCAGAAGCTAGGCTTGGCTCAGACTTTAGAATCCGCTTGAAAGTTGAGAGGAAATGTTGAAATATGGATGCATAGATGGTACTGTAAGCTGTACATGATTTGTACAGGCATTTTTCTTCTTTTCCCATTCTTTATACCTTCTCGATGGCCACGTTGATCTGAGCGAGAAAACGAGGCGTTTACACAAAAAGTTATTGATGGCACTGCTGTTACAGGTTTCTTTCTCATGTTTCTCCTTTAATCACCATTTTGTTCAGATTTTTGTCCCATTTTTTACGATAGCTATTCCATGGATGTTGTACGCTTTTCTCGTGGTTACGGAAAATATTATACCACAAGGTTTGTCAATGGTTTTCACCGCCAAACGCTTGGATTGTACAATAGAATAGCTGCTCACTAGCGGAGATGTTACAGAGCCATTTTGGCCTGGCTGACCTAGCTTTACCTAGCCTAGTCCACAAAAAGTATCCGGGTTCTAGTTTGACTCTGACCTGACCTAGCCTAACCGGTCGGGCCTAACTTAGACCGGCTTACTGACTTGGCTTAGAGCTAGAACATCCTGGTGTTGAGATAAAGAAGTATAGAGCTGGATTCTAGTGACCTGGCCTGGCTTAGTCTGGCTTTGACCTGGCCTGGCTTAGTCTGGCTTTGACCTGGCCTGGCTTAGTCTGGCTTTGACCTGGCCTGGCTTAGTCTGGCTTTGACCTGGCCTGGCTTAGTCTGGCTTTGACCTGGCCTGGCTTAGTCTGGCTTTGACCTGGCCTGGCTTAGTCTGGCTTTGACCTGGCCTGGCTTAGTCTGGCTCATCCCTATCCTGGGGTTTGATTTGAAACTGGCAGTAAGACAATAAATAACAGAAGAGCAATTGGCCTCTAGTCTGACTTAGGATCTCTAAATTTTTCTAAATTTTTGAATAAAATAGTTGATCCAAAGAGCTTGCAGATGTCGTCAACATGGCCTTCTTCATCGACAGCTCTCATGCCACAATTTCCTCAATTTCCATTTGGATTTTCACTGAGCCATACAGAAAATTTCTTCTACGTAAATCTCGTCAAATAACTTTATGGAAAAAAAGATCGAATGTGATCATTTCCATCAGAGAATCTCATCAAAATCCTTCAGCTTTGCCTTAAATTTCATCATTTCCCGATCATGTGTCTTTTTCATTCAATTGAGCGCCCCAGAAAGGCTATGTTTACAGTGTTTTTTTTGCACAAACTACCCTGGAACTTTATGATTTAAAAAAATATAAGTCTTTATTGAAAAAAATTCATGCAAAAAGTACCACGCAGTTTAGAAGAAAAATCACCGTCATTCAAAGTTTCAAACAACTATTTCATTTCCTGAATTTCGAGTGTATTGCACAGAAAGAATGCAATAAAATTCGAAAATTATGTCATTTTTTTTTGGCAAAGTAATATAGAAATAGAGGAATTGTGTCAATTTTTTAATTTTAATAAATTAAAATATTAGGTTGATGCAAAAGTCTTTTTCATTTTTTTCGTACTTCTTTTGAAAAATAACAAAGTCATCAATTAACCTATGGTTTGCTCTAAATGAAAAGTGTTTATTGTTCAATTTCCCATCTTTTTTTAAGTCAATTTGGGTTCACTTTCAAGCAAATTCGAGAGTGAAAACGGGTTTTTCATAAAAATCTATAAAAACCTCTATAAAGAAATTGGCTGAATCAATTTCTCTGAAAATCTGAAAAAATATCTAACTTTTTGTGCTCTATCTTTTATTTATTAACATCAAGATTGGTTTCCTTAGCTAAAGCGTCTAAAATGCATCATCGAGCATCATTTTTTGACTACCCGACTTCAGGCTCTCAAAAAAATCTAGACATAAGACATTTTAAACTCGTTTTAATGTCATTTTGCAGAAAAATAATTGGCCTTTCGAATGCAATAAACCGTTGTTCAATTGGTGCATTTGTTACTTTTTAACGGAAGTATGAAAAAAATGAAAAAGACTTTTGCATCAACCTAATATTAGGTTGATGCATAAGTGTTTTTGTTCCTTTTCGTCTGCCGTTTCAAGCCAACAAATGCACCAATTAAACTACGGTTGATTTCATTAGAAAAACCAATTATTTTTCTGCAAAATAACATTAAAACGGGTTTAAAAATATTTAATGCCTGGATTTTCTTGAGAGTATGAAGTCGGGTAGTCAAAAAGGGCTAACTCGATGATGCGGTTTAGACACCTTAGCTAAAGAAAACCTATCTTCGTGTCAATAGATAAAAGATAGAGAAAAAAAAACGTTTGATATTTCGCCAAAATTTCAGAGAAATTCATTCAGCCAATTTTTCCGTAGAGTTTTTTATAGATTTTTACGAAAAAGGCGTTTTTCACTCTCGAATTTGCTTGAAAGTGAACCGAAATTCATTTAAAAAGATGCAAATTGAACAAAAAAACACTTTTTTTATAGAGCAAACTATAGATTCATTGGTGAATTTGTTACTTTTTAACAGAAGTACGAAAAAAACGAAAAGACTTATGCATCAACCTATTAGCTATATCCAAGCAGATGAGGTAAAAAGCTCGATGAGAAAAGAGGAGATTTTTGCGAGTACTTTGTGCTTCAGTTTTTGTGCTGGAGAAACGCATGCTATCTAGCGCATTGAGCTCTTCATTCGTTTTGCAATAAGAATCCGGTTTTCTGAGGAAAATCTAGCGGAATCTAGTTGGCCAGGGACGTGCATTTGCTAGAGCACAAAGTACAAGCTTGCCAGAGATAGACAAAGTATTCAATAGATAATGCTACTAAGATTTAGAGATTTCTGTTGAAGATATAAGTGTTAAATAATAGATAATAGTAATAAGCTTTAGAGATTTCTATAGAATATATACATCAGCTGGGAGTCGACCTCGTAAACCGCAAATATTCAAGGCGACACATCGCGAGAAGTATGGAGCACGTTTGAAGCCAAGTTCCTGAAAAAATATAGATCTTTATAGTGAAAAGATTTGCATTTATGTTATTATTTTATGGATATTTAGTTGAGGATACTATTTTCTGAAGATTTTATTGCTTTTAAATGGTTCTAAAGGTTTTACAAAGCTGACAATCAGTTAACGAATCCCTAACGTTGCCAGCGTTTTCTAAAGCTATTGTAACCTGCAGCTTGAGAAAAGAAGTACTGTAATCGACACGGTTCACTGCTTAAATCTATTTTATAACTAGTTTAAGCAATAAATTTCAAATCTTAAAGCTCACCACAAGACTTTTTCACAGCGCCCATCAGCTTAGCGATTTTGTAGATCGCTTCGACATCATCCTTCGACTTTTGACGAATTCTCTGGAAACAGTTTATATAATTTATTCAAAGCAACAATCTACATCAATTTCTGAATAGTTTTCAAAGTTTTCTCACTCACTCGTGACAGCATCCATTCGTATTTCTTTCGCGCTTCACGCACAATCGCCGCGCTCGGCTCGGAGAGGCCATGAGCTGAAAGAATTTGCATATAATTTGCATAACTTTTCAAATTGAATCTATTATTCTACAATGGTTTATCCTTTAAATTTAGATCATTTTATGGTAAGCCAAAATAATAAATAAGCTAATTCACAGGTTAAACAGTTGTCCGTTCAAAGAAAAGGAGAAATTGAGCTTTAGAAACTCTGCCAAGATCTAGATAAGTATAAAAATTATCATTTTCGATTCAAAATCAAAATTTATCTTGATTTTAAACGAACCCGAGTGAAAAATGAGGATATTCTTCAACAGAACATAATCCCCATCATCCATTTGAGTGTCCCGGAAGGCGGGGATCACTTCATTTTGCCCCAAATTGATCATTCGCTCCAAAAAGTCACCAATTCTAGAGAAAAAGCAATATATTTGATACAGATTTAACTCGAAAATCATTTTCTTATAACTTACTCATACTTTTTGAGAGCTCTACTGTCTGCACTGAAGGCTTGTCCTAAACCGGCCACCATGCCCGGATTGCCAATCCTGAAACGATTCAATTTATAACATTTTAAAGTTTATAATTATTTAAGCACACTTATCTACAGTAATCTACAATATTAAACGATTTCAAATGCCAAACCTGTACGTGTAAGCGAACAAAAGAAAAGGGGAAACGAAGAGGTGCTGCCGTTTGCAGAAAAGCACCTGAAAGGATTGAATGTTAAGATTGCAAAAGTTTGCGATCTCTGCTCTCTACTAAAGAAATATAACAAATGACTGTACTTGCTCTTTTGGCGGTAATTGAGAGACTTCAGCCAATCCTCTCACATAATCGATGACATGAAGGAGGAGACGGGAGAATTGACGACCCAAGTTTTGTGAGGGTTCAGCGTTCGGGAAAACGTGGGATAAACCAGCCTGAGAATTTGATGGATAGCTGGATCTTGTTTGGAATTTGCATGCTCAGCTTGACTTAATCCCAAATCTCTGAACTGAAATGCTTCCTAAAAACTAGAGAAAAGCTATTGTAGGCATTTTGGAAAGCAGGCATTTGTTAACCTCGTGGGACAATAAACAGGCTTAAGTTTTTAAAAACCATGGATACGATTAAATTTAACAGCTTTTCTATTCAAATCCCCATTTCACAGATTTCCGATTCCCCATAAACACAGAGTCTCTCGAATCACATTTTTCCACAAAATGCTCTCAAAGAGCTGGCTTTCGCCCAGAAATGGGTTCAAGATCTCGATTCATAGCTCTCTTCATTTCCCAGACAAATAGAATTACGGTAGGATTTTCTTTGAAAAACACAAGGTGTTCAGTGGTCAAATTTTGCCGAAAATGGCTGCACAGAACGAGTGGGCTGCCGTAAATGGATTTAAGCCATTTAGATTGATGAAGAAAATGAAAAAAATGTAAATGAAATGTAAAATGAATAAAATAAAAAAGTCAAAGATAAAGAACGTGGGAGTTGAAAGGAAAGGAATGGGAAGGAATGGGAAGGGAAAGGGAAAGGGTAAATGATTGCATTTGCTGCTTTTTCTTCAAAGAATCGAGAACCGAACCACTGATCACTACAAATAGGAACCAAATGGGAATCAAATAGGAATCAAATAGGAATCAAATAGGAACCAAATGAGATCTCTATGAGAACCAAATATGAACCAAATAGAAACCAAATGGGAACCAAATGGGAATCAGATAGGAATCAAATAGGAACCAAATAGGAACCAAATAGGAACCAACATCAGATATCTCATATGCAGATCAACTAGATCTAAGGTAGTTTTTCAATAAAGAATCAATAAAAAGAAAAAAAAAATTAGAAGATACCGGATTTCCTCGGTACCGGATTTCCAACAGAAGAAAGATTTCAAAAAGATCGATAATCATTTGCTTTTCATTTGCTTTTGCCATTCCAAAAGATTTGCTTATCGTTGATATTCAAATTTTCCAATATTGAAATTCTGTTGTTGCGACTCTCTTGAATCCTTTCCAAATCTCTTATAGATAAAAATAACTTATCGGCTTTTGCCTTTCATCATTTTCTATCAATATCTAAAACAAAAAAGGGGTACTTATCGTTTTGAAAGCGATTTTCATCTTGTATAACCTATGAATTATCATGATTGAAAAGAGGAGAGATTTTCTGAAAATATTTTCCTAAATCCAGAGATTCAATTAGAAAATCTTGAGGAGAATGGAGATGAGAAGGGGGGAAAGAAAAGAGAAAAGAAATGGGAAAATATGAAGATAAGAAGGGGACTTTGGAAACGAAGATATTGGAAAGGGTATAAAAGAGAGAAGTTCTCAAAAAGATACACCACATCTTTCTATATAAACAGAATGAGTACTGTTTTTTTGTGAAAAAGGACAAGTTACTATAAGTCAGATCTAGGTTTGAAGTTTCTTTACCAAGAATTTTGACTTACCGGTATTCGCAAACAAAGCGAAGTGGGACAACGGAGGACATCCTCGAAGCTCAAATCGAGATTGTACGTGAAACGGCTCGTCGAACACTCTGATGTGTCTCCATTGCAGAAACTGAAAGGAAAGATGGATTGATAAACTAAAAGCCATTTCCAGCAGTTTAACAGAGTTTTGAGCATCGAGTTCTTCTTAATCAAAACGATTGAAGACACCATACTGCCTCAAAATATTCAATCCTTCGAAAACTTACGATTCCAATTGCAACAAGGCTTGCACAGTGTCCACATTTGGATCCACGTACGCCAAAGGAGAGCAATCGAAACGAACAGAGCCCTGCAAGTGCTGAATAGAAAGAGTAGGTACGATAAGAAAGAAAGAAGACAATATAGACCATGTCAAACCACTAACCATGTCTAGGAAAGCTGTGCACAAGACATTCTCGATTTCCTCTTTTGGTTCAGGACTACTTGAGTAGACTGAAGTTGAGGCGACAGAGTGCGGAGATCGAGGACTCATTCTTAAACGACAGCCTTCTCGCCGGGCAACGACTGAAAACGAAATTCGGCTTTCCAAGTTGAAGTGCTCAATGATAGAAAATATTAGGTTGGTAAAAAAAGAAATGAGCGTCGTGTTTGTTGATTTGTATTTTATTCACAGTAAAAGATTTTTTAAAATAGTTTATTGTATTGGAAAGAGCGTGTTCTTGGACCGCGTGGACCAGGCGCTGCGACGTCAAGGTGTGGATACGGCGTCGACAAAAGTCCTCCATGACAACGCTCGGCCGCATGTCGCAAAAATCACCCAGCAGAAAATTGAAGAAATGGGCTGGGAGGTCCTGCCTCATCCGCCATACAGCCCAGACTTGGCGCCTTCCGACTACCATCTGTTCCGATCAATGCACCACTCCTTGGCCGAAAAAAAGTTCAAGAACCGCGACGAGGTCCAAATTTGGGTGTCCAACTTCTTCGAGTCGCAGCCGGTCGAGTTCTTCAAGAAGGGCATCCATTCTCTGCGTGAACGTTGGCGACAAGTCATTGATGCAGATGGCGAATACCTTTTGGATTAATGTATTTTTATCTTGTTTTTATAATAAAATAAACTTTTAACGAAAGCACGCATTTCTTTTTTACCAACCTAATAGATTGTCAATTTTATATTTCAGCTTCTGAACACGTTGTAACTTTCTTTCTAGGTACTTTTTTCTACTACGTTTTGAGGCTAACATTGGCAAACGAACCTTCTACTCAAGTTTTAGAAGTTGTAGCTTTTATGCGTTACTCTAAAGAACAAAGAACTCACTATTCGGAATGAGACCAGCTTTGAGACATTGTTGATAGCGACAAGCTCGACAATCGTCTCTAGCTAAAAACTTTCAGCTAATAAGCATCTTTAAGTTAACTTAATTACCTGTTTAATTAACAATAGTTTAATAGTTTAATTATCTAACGATAAGCTCTATCAATTGAATTAAAAAAGCTCAAGAACTCACGAAAACTACACTTTCCACCATTGAAACAAGTGAATGTTGCGTTTCGTGCTGTCGAGCGGAGGAAGAAGATTTTACAGGCACTGAAATCAATAAATGTTATATATTTATTGTATAATGTATTATCTTTTCTTATAGAAATTTAGCTAAACTTACTTGCAAGCAATTGACCCTGTAACATTTCCTGGCGTTTCTCTGCCCGCACACCAAACAGGGGAGCACCATTTTGAGAGGGGAAAGATAAGAGGAATTGAATAGAGAATCGATTTGTGGAAAAGTAGAATAGATTTCTGAAAATTCATAAATCAGATATTCAGCTAACAAGTCGAAACATTAATCAATCAAAATGAACAAATTAAATAGAATAAGTACTGCACTGTTCTTTGTAGTACTTTGTCCGAAATACCTCCTTTCTGGTGCACTGGGATCTCTATTTTGGCCAAAAATCGTCCATTTTGTAAATAAACCGGTCATCAAGCCAAAGTTTACTGTGCCAGAAGGCGAGCGTTTATGCATAGCCCTAGAGAACACAAGAACACTAGTGTTTACCTCATTCCATCCTGTCTTTTGTAATAATACTCTACAAAGAACAGAGTGCAGTACTTATTCTTGTTTATCCTAAAGTGCATTTAAGTACAATGAAAAGTTGATTTCTAGAGTCACTGGCAAGAGAAAGGATTGAAAGAGAGGATTGAAAGAGAAAGGATTGAAAGAGCTCTCGAACGAGGATTCTTGTCCAGCTTTATCCAAAGAGTGCGTTTGCGCTCACTAAATAATGAAGAGATTCACTAAATATTCTATACATGCAACAAAGTACAACAGGGCTCAATTTCTAGAGTCACTGGCAAGAGAAAGTTATTGCACAAAGATTGCTGAGTTCATTAATTATCCAATTAAAGAAACACTCAAACAATCGGGGATACGGTAAGCCGAATTCTTAGTCAAACTCATCTTCCCTACACTTATTTCAATTTTCAAAGACAGATTGCTGTAATTTTGGAAAAAGAGGGTCCCGGAGAGTGCAAATGAGCCGACTAAAGAAGCTTTGGAGAAACCAAAGTGGAAATGAGAGGATTTCGAGAGATAAAAGAGACTTCAGATTACGCATAGTTAATATAAATGATTAGTGTAAGAGATTGGGGATGACAAAGAAATGCGTATTATTTTTGTCGTCTGAACAATGAATAAAGAAGGAGAAGAGAGTTCAATCGAAAGATTCAATGTATTACAAACGCTTTGAACAGAATGGAATGAGGTAAACGAGAAGAAAGTAAACAATAAAGCACAAGAATATTGCACCCTGTTCTTTGTGCTCGAAATGCACGCTTTCTGCTGCACTGGAGTATTTTAAAAGCTTTGACGCTCCAAGAGCTTGAAGAGAGAAATTAACCACTTTTGACACGACATTAGTGTGCCAAAGGATGAGCGTTTATGCGTATCCCTAGAGAATACTCAAAGCTAGCATTTGAATGCACCAGAAAGGGTGCATTTGCGAGCACAAAGTACAACAGAAAGTATACAAATGGAAAGAAGAAATGAAGTTGTGCCTACAGACTGGTTTATACTAAAGAATGGATATTTATCGTGGGTACAAGGGGTACTGTAACTGGGATACAACTTGGAAAATAGCTGTAATTTCAGCAAAAATCTAATAAAGCAAGTTGAATTGCAGTCAAAAGATACTGTAACCAAACTGCACTGTAACTGATATTGTAAAGAGCTCAAAATTTAAAGTAGCACAAAGCCAAAAGTGAAAAACTACAGCTTCAACCAAGTAGCAGAATTTTCCCGCAAAATGGGCTCAATTCTGGGCAGAGCTGAGGAAAAATGAAGGAAATGAGAAGACAGTGGATCGAAAGTTTTTTCCGCCTTCAACTTGAAAGAGAAACAGATTGGTGAAGGGATTTGAGGAAGAGATTCGAAAAGGGAAATGCGGGATACGGTAGCCACTTTGGAACAATGTTTAGAGAAACAAAGCATCATCAAAGTCAAGATTTCATTCGTCTACTGATTCTGAACGCATAATCATAGTCAAAAGATTTGTGGATTGCAGCCTTACACTGATAAAAGAACATAAACGAAGATTCCCGTTTGATTTCCCGGAAAACCCAAATTTACGACTGAATATTTGTTAGCATCTACAAAGAAAAAAGAAATCCGTGTAAATGATCGAGGTGCTCTTTGTGTGGCCGAGAAATCGCTCGCGATCCTCGATCGATCCTCATCCTCGATCGATAGCCGTTCCCTTTATCGGTAAAGACTTCAGATAACAGAACAATTTGTGTCAGCGTCAGTTCTTTTTTCCTCTATAAGCTGGTTTTAGGATGCGATTTTGATATTTGAAGGAATTACAAGAATATAAAAAGGAAGAACCAATGCTTATCAACCCTTCAAACCACTCCCCAGCTTGATACATGACAAGAAAACCATAAGCTGTTGCTCGTGAAACTCAACTTTGGTAGACTATGAGCTAGCTAATCCAGGAGAGAACATTGAGGCTGATCTCTATTCAAAACAATCTCTAGCGATGCTTTAAAAAAGCCAGCATTTGCGAGCACAAAGTACACAAATGGAAAGAAGAAGTGAAGCTGTGCTTAGAAGAAGAAACCAGCCAAGACACTGAGGCTGAAACTGACTTGAAAAGCTGATCATTTACCCAGTAAATTATTAATAGAGTTACTGTAAAGCAATGAGATATTGTTAAAATTTTAGGAAACTTCAGCTAACAGTAAGTTCGGGGAATCATTCGGCTCAAATTCGCTGCTTAACATGTAAAAGGCACATAGAGTTGAAATACAGGGTTCTCTTCACCCTCATATTAGCTGAACCGTTAATTTTTCGTTTAAATCAGAACCTGATCATTTAATTGAAGGAGAAATTGGGCAGTACAACGAAAACTTGAATTGAAATTTGAATCACGTTCAATGATAATTGAAAAGATTTTCAAATGCAAAGATACAACGAAAACTTCTTCAGCTGATTCAAAAGCCAAGAAATTCGCCTAAAAATAATCACTTTCTATTTTCGAATTCAGATTTGAGTTGAAATTTTGATTTTGAATAACGTTCAATGACGGTTGAAAAGATTTTCAAATGCAAAGATGTCATCAAAATATGATAATGGATGAAAAAAGTACTGCTACGTGATCTTCTCAAAAAGTTTGAAATTCCCGTAGAAAGCTTTTTGTCCTAAATCCCCTAAAGCCAAGAGTGTTTGTTGATGACGGAAATCAGGAATCGAAGAGAAAGATTAAGTACTGAGCTACAGAGTGGGAGGAATGTGGCAGGAATTGGTAGTTATGGGGATTCAAAGGTAGGGCGTGAAAGGATAGGTTATTTGTTCGGTGGGAGGGTTAGGGAGGTTGGAGATGAGCAAGTGTGGACAAGAAATTGTAGGAATCGTCTGGGATATCCGGATACTCGAGACTGGATTTGCGAGCTTAGAGCTCTTCGTAAATAATCTCTTATCATGGAAACAATGAATCCTCGATATCAAATTAGAGCTTTACTCTCAATATCGAAATCCTAGAAATCAATGACTAACGAAATGGGATCTTGATTATCTTGATTTCAAGTTTACAATGTTCCAAAATCCTCTAGAACCTAATAAGCTCTGGAATTGTTCGAATAAAAAAAAACCTTTCAACAAGTTCGACAAAAAATTGCTTAATTAGTAGAGAAATGGGCGAAAATTGGTGGTCTGTTAGGGGAAAGTTCGGAAAAAGAAGGGTTGAACCTGGGAGAATCAAGAAGTTCATAGGGATAAAAGGAATCGCATTGAAATTCAATTGAATTAAACGTAGGGCATTGAAACCGCATTGAAACAAAATTCTACAAGTTCTTATGATATTTCAAAAGTAAACATTATAAAGTTATTAAATTCAGAAGTTCGTAAAGAAAAACGACAAGATACGAAGGCTTATTTG